GGGGAGGGGGGGATCATGTCAAGCACATGTCGGTTAAACAACGTTTTGGTGAGTGGTCATTCGAGTGTATCCTTAGGCCAAGACATGATAACCCTTGCTGAAAGAAAAAAAAAATCAGGACATTGCGCAGTAGCTAAAAGTCATGTCGTGTTGCTTGTTTGAATTGGTTTCCTATTGTGCATTATGGAGCTTTGAGAAGTTTTTGTATGATATAGGATATGGTGCTACCGTAAAATGGCCAGTATAAGTTTAAAAACAAAAAAGACAAAATGTGAGTAGTGTCAAATTCTACACCCAAGACAAACCCTGGAGAATAAAATAAAATGTAGAAAAATACAATACTTAGGCCACTTTAAACGACACAAGACCATTGTTGAAGAGGTGCTTGAAGGAAAGATGTGGGACAGGAGAGCCAGATGAAGACAAAGAATGGACAACATAAGAACATGGACTGGCCTGGATAAAGCAGAATGTTCAACGGAATCTTGCGACCATGACGGATGGAGGGTCATTACACGTCAACCTCTGAGTCAGAGATGAAACCTTCAGATGAAGATGAATAGTAACGTATTCATTTACCTTATTGCGTATGTATACAATCGTCAAAAAAAGCCTCTCGAGAATAAGTAAATTGACATGAAATTCGAGGATCAAGAATGATTTGGTACGAAATAAGAGGATTAATAATATAATTGACACAAAATAAGAGAAACACAAAGTGTGGTATTTTAAGGAGGACTTTAGTTATTGTGGCAACGAAAGACATAGCTCACCCGAAATGAGTACGTAACTTTTTTCTGCTTCACACGAACCAAAAACTGTGAACATGGACTCACCGAGAGAATCACTGGACACCCCCACCTCCACAACCACTTCCAGATAAAGCTTTTGTTCCGCCCCGTCATCTCCGTGACACGCCCAGCGAAGCGGCGAGCGCCGTAGCCCCAGCCAATCACGAGACACTCCGCAGCGCACAGAAGGGGCGTGGCTAGGCGGGGAACTGACAGCTGGAGGATTCTCAAGATGTGTAGACCGTTCTGTGGACGTAGTGTCATTAGGTGAAGGTATGTTAGGAGCAAAGAAAAGTACTTTGGCCATTCAGTGATAGGTAAAAAGAAAGGCAGATAGACAGAAACGTGGATGAACGGATGGATGGAATGATGGATTGACGGACGAGCGAATAGATGATGGATGGGTGGATGGATGGATGGGTGGATGGATGGATGGATGGATGGATGGATGGATGGATGGATGGATGGATGGATGGATGGATGGAAGGATCAAGTCACCTGTGCGGTAGTCAGTACGTTGAGAGACAACAAAACAAAGGCTAAAGCTCCCAGTATTGCCAGCTTCCATCTTCTCTTGACGTCATCCGGACACACGAGGTCTATCACCCCCTGCTGTAGATGGTGAGACATGACGGCAGCCTGAATCACGCTGAACAACACAATAGATAGGTAGAATGTTCCATTCCAGAACGCAGGGGTGGACAAGTTTGACGTGACGGCGGGGAGGAGGACGAAACCAAGATCTACATCGCCTGTAACAGACAGAATGAGATGTTTGATTGATATGTTTCAGTAAAGAGAAGTACATCGACACTATGATGATAAGTGAGTCCGGCCAGTAGCAATAAGGACTCACGAAAAAAAAAAACAGAAAGAAAGAAAAGAAGGAGGACATACACGTGGCTCCCTTCAATCACTCCCATCTGCTTTTGATAATGTTTTTAAGAATTATAATAATATTGATATATATTTAATAGAATTAAGGTGTGCGTGCCGATCGTGAATGATAAAATGACAGACAGACAGACAGACAGACAGACAGACAGACAGACAGACAGACAGACAGACAGACAGACAGAGCAAATTGAACTGATAAAGTCAGGGAGAAGCATTTTTTTAAAGTGTATGTGGTCGCTTTCAAAGGCAAGCGGGCTAACCCAGATTTCGGGGGGGGTTAGATGTCTTGACTTACACCGAAAGTGGGTATTGCCCTACCTACGGGAGAAGTTTGGTCTCATTGGCAGGGGCGAAGGCTGACTTGTTTGACAGGGTAAACAAAGTGAGATGGGACCAGATAGGGCCTGGAGATGTCACACAATAATCGTACTCGAGGAGGCAACCCTCAGTTGTGAATGAAAAAAATTCTGAATTCATAGTATTGTATATTCTATGGCGAAAATAATCAGGAAAGTATCTCATTAAATATCTACTACAACTAACATTAAAGTTAACTTTAGATGTGAATACACAAACACAAAGCAAAGAAGCAGAGATGTCAGTACTAAATCTATATGTTATACCAGTGAGTCTAAACTCTTTGGTAGAACATGACAATTATCTTCTTTTTTTTAAATTTCACATTTGGCTGTTTTGTGTAGCCTTTCACGGCCAGGAGCGGTGTCATAATCGAGGTCACGATCTGATTATAGGACAAGAGATTATTAGGAATTAGTTCCCCTCACATTTGTGAGGTAGACTCGACCAGTGTAATAGTTCGCTTACATAATCAGTGCTTGTGACTGCCTATAACTGTGGCCCGAAAGGGGTGAACAGGGTATATGTGGCAATGAAACAGTTTTACTGCTATGTACATGTTCCATTCAACTCTATTGGTAGACTCTTCCAGCCTCACGTTAAGCTTACTTAATCAAAACTTGTGTGGTCTGCTTATGGAGTGGCCCGAAAGGGGTGAGCAGGCTATTTCTGTGACAGTCAAACCGTTTAGAATGTTAGGCATACTGTTCATTGGTGATTATGAACGTCTTTTTACATTTAATTTAGGAGGTTTACGTTTATGGGTGAATTTGACTGCAACAATATTTCAAAATTAGAAAGGGAAGCAGTCATTATTTGATTATATAGACGCTTCGCCACTGCGAGTCATTGGTGTGTGTATATTGAGTGCGTATACTCGTATTATGGTGGGAGGGGGTGCAAGAGGATATCTTTTTTTTTAACCTTTCTTTTTACTTTTTAATGTGTACATGTATATTAATTAATGTACTAATCATTTTTTTCATCCGGGTTGGGGGTGGAAGAAGGAAGGTGTAAGGGTCAAGGCCAAGTAAACATTCTTTACTTCTGTTTTTCCAGAGCAGCAGAAATTTTCAAGCCGTTTTAAAAGCATGCCGCTCTCAAAGCTAACTGTAGCTAAGTGTGCGTGTGACAAAATGAAACGAGCTCAGTAAGTGCTTTCTGACGTCCTGGCATTGTGTACTTAATGTCATTTTTTGTCCTCCCCCCCCCCTCTTCTCTCTCTCTCTCTCTCTCTCTCTCTCTCTTTGTGT